CCGGGGGGGGGGGGTTGTTGACAGACATCACGATGAACAGTTGGATGAAAGTGAAAGGTGCCTGCCTGAGATTCAGTAGTGGCACGGTGATGCAGTTGTCTCAACAACCCCGGGCCTTTGTGGCAGACGTGTCCAGCACGCGTGTCATAACGCGGCGTCGTTGCGAAATTGCACGGTGCTTAACTCGATCGGTTACAGAATTTTGCTCTACTCTTGTTCAGCCTTTCCGCGGGGATTTCTTATACTTCTTGAGAGTCGACACACGACAGCTGTGGTTCTTAATACGGTCTGGCCTCAATAAATTGACACGTCCAATCCAACTTGTTGAAAATTCTAAGATATCGTTACATGACCGCGAGCTTTGGAAGGATTCTGGTCAAGACTAAGCCAGCAGCTTAGAGCATGCAATGGTGTGGAAATACACCTCAATCATATGATGCCAATGTCTCCTTATTTTAACGCGATGCTATGCCTTACAAGTCGGCCTTCGGGGGATAGTATGGGCGGAAGGTCCGGAGGGAGGCGAAGGTGACTTTTGCATTCGTCTGGGGCTATCAGTTGGATGATCAGTGAAATTTGGACTTGTTTCCTTCATGTGCAGGGTCGTGCACGTTTCAGGGTGCTTGATCAACTGAAAGGCTCGTTACGGAAGAGATTCGACAGGGAAGCGGCCTGCATACAGGTAACAGAAGCGTCATGTCAAGAGGCAGACTCTTCGTATTTATAGATGGAGAGGCCGGAAGGCCTACCTCTTAAAGTACTCGGTAGTATTTTTAGTGTTCGCCTTTAAAGACCTTGCTCCACTGTATCGCTCATTCACCGCCGAGATTGCGCATGTCCGAGTCGCGACGAGTCTAGGGAAACCTCGCGGACTCGGATATGATCGATCGATACATGTGGTGTCCATCGTCCTTTCTCCTTTGATCCCGACACGTCCAGCTGAACACCTCGGCGCGTAGTCTTTTACTACGTGCGTCTAGTGTTCGCCTACCCCATGATCTTTCTGATCCGGACTCTATGTACCTCTAGGCTCTCCGAACGGCAGTTATGGCAAGCGCTCCCCACAAACTGACGATCTAAGTCCACCCCGTGCTGAGGCTAGCCGAGAAGAAGGCGGCGCCCCATGTACTTCGTGAAAACCTTCGTGGGGATATTAATATGCGCTCACGAGCCACATCAATGGAGCTCTTTGTCTTTGGGTCCGTGCTCCTGTCTATCGTCCGATCGTCTCTCCCCGCAAGCCGTGCAAGAGCAAGACTGTTCTTCAGGGTGTCTGAACCTGAGACCGGATCGTCATGGCTGAGCCCGATCCTGCGCACGCAGAATTCGTCAATGCCCTCTCATCGCTGGATCCAGAGAAGGATGTGCCGGATGAGATGAATCCTAACGCAGACGGGACCTTTTACCAATCCCAGATTGGTGAGCGACCGTCCAAGGGACACTTCTTCTCTCCTCTGGATGCACAGCTCGCGGAGGCGGTACATAACGATGCAGACTCGGTAGTGTACACCGAGGAAGAAGAGGTGTGTAGTGTTGGTTCATCAAGATCGGCGTGAGGATTTAAGCCGCACTCGCAGAGAGCTGTGCGGAAGAAAATAGACATGCGAGTCTTGACGTTGGTCATTTTGAGGCGAGTCGTATACCATGCCTTCGTTTTTCTTGCTGATGATCAAATACGATAGTTATCTTTGTGTGTGATTATGCTCGAAACTGTCGGAGCACATGATAACTGACTTGCCGATGTTCACTCATATGCCAATGCTTACAGTCAATCAGTTTGGTACGTCGTTATCTAATTCATAAGACCTTCCTGGATGTTGATGACTTGACACGCCGTAGATCGGACGAACATGTAAGCGCTCGTAGCGCGGACGATTTGGAACCTACTAATACGTATGCTCAAGTGGCAATGTGCACGTTATAGATGCGTTCAATGAAAATTATGTAAGTTCTATGTTGATTCCGCCGCAGTAGTCCCAATTTGAACTACGTACACTGCAGGGAGTGACCGACAACAATAAATGGACACTTGCACTTAGTGTATTTTATGTTGGCTATTGTCAGTCGATTCCCTTCACATGCTAGCAGTGTCTTATAGTAAACTAAACTCCTGTGCTTTAGGTCTTTTAGAGATGCCAGCGAATGGTGTGTACACTGCATATATGCGCTACTTTCCCTGAGGGTACGAATCTTGCCTCCCATATGTATACAGTCCTCCAGCGACGTATCGGAGCAAATCGCTTGTTAGTATTTCATGATCAGGCCTGTTCCATGTCTTTTCCTGATCTGACATGCGACATGATTAGCTTCTTCATGTCTTTGACATTCTGGGGTGTCTCCTCGCTGTCGTATGTTTACGGCAAAGGCTATGCTGGATTACTCGTCTTACGGCGCGTACATGTTCATCACTTCAATTCACCCTCACTGATAGGAAAACCGTTTGGTGTAGAGTTCTTCTGGGAATTGGTGAGGCAGGGTACTACGCAGGCATGGTGTACTACCTGTCATTTTGGTATAAGAGGTCTGCGTGATTTTACTGCTCCCATCATGGAAGTGCTTTGACATGTAACCTTTAGACACGAGCTTGCCATGCGCATCAGGTAGGGAAGAAGCGTTGTTATTATCCAGGGTCACAATGACTCATTCTTCATTGTATAGTATGTGCATGACAGGGACGTATCCTGGCGCTGTCAGTGTGAGTTGTGAAAGTCATATAGAGGCCATTTTGCGCGAGCTCATCTGAACGCTTCAGGGACTTATCGCCTTCGGCTTGGTTCGTGCACACACGTCTCTGCTTCAAGGGTACGTGCCAGTATGCCCCGCTACTGTTACCTAACGAATAGCGCATGCACTTAGCTGGCAATTTTTGTTCCTCGTGAGCCTATCACCTATGTGTCTCGATTTACTGCTAAAACACCAACGTTTTACAGATCGAGGCGATCCCCACGATTGTGATCGCGTCCCTTATCCTGTTCTTCTTACCATCATTCCCATTCTCCGCTACATTCTTGACGCCACGCGAGAAAGCGATTGCGCAGGCGCGTATGAATCGCGACCAGAAGCCGACGTCCCATGGCGGCATGAATGGGTGGCAGGGCTTCAAGGCTATCGTGAATGATGTCAATGCGTGGTTACTGGTCGTTATTTATGCGGGGTGTGAGATGATTCATGTTACTGTCTGGCATAGTATGAATCACTGACATGATGGTGTTAGTTAATATTGGCACAGCGACGATCACATATTTCCTGCCCACGGTACGCCTCATGATCTGTACCTAGTTTGTGAGGCCCTCAACTAAGTAGCATTGGTGCAGCTGATCGATGAGCTCGGATACTCAGACATTAACGCACAGGGAATGACTGTCGCACCGTATGCTGTTGGGTGGTTCCTGGTCATCTTTCAGGCGTGGCACAGTGACCGAACGCGGGATCGAGGCTGGCACGTTGTCGGGTCAATGCTAACGTCCTTCACGGGATATGTCATCCTCGCGACGAGCGTGCAGAAGAGCGTTGGCGCAGGATATTTTGCGCTCTTCCTCGTCGTGGGCGGGAATTTTAGCCTGTTCCCTCTGGTGATGTAAGTAGTAGCAGTGTCATTGGAGATGGGATATCCCGAGTCTGATGTCGCGGTATGTAGGAGCTGGGCTGCGAACGTGTTCTCGCCAACGTCGAAGCGCGGCGTGGGCACTGCTTTCATCGTGTCGATCGCGAACTGCATCTCCATGTGAGTAGCGGCTGCTGGGCGTGTTCGATACAGAGCCGGCTCATGACACCACTCCCGATAGCGCCTCGCCGCAAATCTACTTCGACTCGTACGATGACTACCGCAAGGGCCATGCCATTGCCGCGGGGTGCGCACCTCAGCCCTCCTTAATGTCCCGAGATAATATGTTAACGCTTTGCTTCCTCCGACGTGCTAATGTGTTGATTGTTCCGACGCAACGCATTTTGCGATAGGTGCATGTTCCTGTCGACGCTCGCAACAATTGTCCTGCGCATACGGCTGTCCTGGATGAATACGAGGAACAAAGAAAAGCTCGCGACACTGACGGAGGACGAGAAGAATCAGCTGAGCGACGACCCGGAGATATGGGATAATGACCCGCGCTATGTGTTTATGGTGTGAAAATGAGGAAGACCGGGCTTCCACGGGCGTACTGTAATTCCGAAGTAAGGTGTATGCATTGTCAGTGTAAAATAGAAAATGGATGTGAGTGTTTGTATCAGTAAAATGAGCCGAGACCTGAAGCTCGGAGACCCAAGAAAGTGGGCACCGCGCCGAGGGGCGCGCGCTGGTGGCTGCATCCTCTTTGTTCCGAAGCGCTGCTCGTCCCGTATGTCTCTCGTCTCATCGCGGCCACTGCGACCCGACTGGCTAGCAGCAGGATGAAAGTAACGACCCGCCGCCGTCATCGCAGGCTTTCCGTGTTTCGCCGATGACGTCTTGCGACCCACTCGAAGACCTTCGTCCCCACTCTTCGCACAGATATCTTGTATACCTGCCCACACTCCCCGGGCTATTGCGCTTTCAGTCCTTGAGCCGTTCACTGTACACAACCAGCTAATCCCCTCTCTGTAATTAAACTTGCGAGAAGCATATTTCCCTTGCTTGACTCTTTGAGTTGGGGGCCATATCTCCACTCCTTAGAAATGTTGCGCGCCCAAGCGCTCGTGGTCGCTTGCAAGAGGGGTACAGTCAGCCCTGTCTTTGGCACGCGCAACTTTGGCGCATCCGCTATCCGACAGGAGCAGCATCTCGTCATCCTGGGGTCTGGATGGGGAGGGTATGAACTCCTTAGAAGTATTGACAAGAAGCGCTGGAGTGAGTATTCACTTTCCTCGTATATTATGCTGCGTATACTATTGAGTGCCGCGTTAACGGGCCAGCTAACGTTACCATTTGTTCTACTTTCATCTTGGAAATTTGACGCAGCAGTGACTGAATCGTTGACGCCTCTTTTCCACAGATGTCACGGTAGTTTCCCCGACAAATTACTTCAACTTCACTCCTCTGCTCGCGAGTTGTGCCGTTGGCACGCTCGAGTTCCGCTCTGCTGTGGAACCCGTGAGCCCGTGATCAATAGTCTTACAATGCTCATGACGCTAATGCCCTACGTGCTCTTGGGGACAGGTGAGGCGTTATACTCCGCAAGTGGTTGGTCCCTTTCATATTTTATCCTGCTGTCGTCATGTACCTTCTCATCATTTCATAGCATGCATATCAGGCTTGGTGCGACTCGATTGATTTCAAGCATAAAACTCTCACATGTGTAAGTACAGTGCCTGCATTCGCACCACAATGTTCTCTACGATACGAAATTTATTCCATCGTCTACACGATGATTCTAATTCGGCCCTCTGTAGATGCCCGCGACCCCACCGCTGTCCTTCCATCCAGGCGCTACTCCGTCCCCTTCTCCCAATGCTGATCCTTCTACTATTGTACATTCTCCACCGGGTGAAGGATCTCCTGCTACCGAGAAATTCACCCTGAGGTATGATCGACTTGTCATCTCAGTGGGTGCATACAATCGAAGTACGTCTTCCAGATCCTCTTCATATGCCGAAAGTGATTAGCGTTTTCTCGACATCATCATTACATTATCCATATGAATAGCGTTCAATGTTCCCGGTGTGAAGGAGCACGGCCATTTCCTCAAAGATATCCGGGACGCGAGGGCCATTCGATCTAGGATTATCGAATGTATGCGCGCCCATTACCTCTCTTGTGACAACTTCACATTACGATTGATGCTAGGTTTCGAGCAGGCTAATCAACCGACTATCACGGACGACGATAGAAGGAAGCTCTTGCACTTTTGTATCGTTGGTACGTGAGATATCCCACGACTTCGAGCCATCAAATTTACAGGTAGCCAACAGGTGGAGGGCCGACGGGCGTTGAGTTCGCTGCGGAGCTGCACGACCTATTACACACAGAGGTGAAACGTCATTATCCGAGCCTGGCACGGCTGGCAAGAATATCATTATATGATGTCGCGCCACACATTTTGGGCTCATTCGATGTCGGGTTGCAGGAGTATGCCCTCTTCCTGGACACAGACAATCGAGACACGCTAATAGAATTATGATCTAGATGGGCGACAAAGAAATTTACACGCGAAGGTATCCGTATTTTGACGCAACATCATGTCGAGCGCGTTGAGGCGGTGAGTGAATATTCAACATCTTCTATAAAGGCTGTATCTAATCGTGTTAACGTCATAGGGTAAGATGTACGTGAAAGAACAGGGAGAAGGTATATCGCCTATAATCATGTATGATTGAATGCTGAATTTTTTCTCCCTTGAGTGTACTTTGGTCTGCTGGTCTGGAGTACGGGTCTGGCGCCAAATCCTCTAATCCAAAGCATCACCGAAGCAGAGAAGGATACCAGGACTGCTAGGTCTATAGTTTCAATTCTACTGCGCTGTAGATACTCATCAGGGTTTTTAGCCTGATCACAGACGAACACCTGAACGTCGTGATGAAGGATACGGGCAAGCCTGATCCCGATGTTTGGGCCGTCGGCGACGCAGCGATAATCAAGGACAACCCGCTGCCCGCTACTGCTCAAGGTACGTTCACCCCCTTCTTCACCCATTCACTAATTGTTATACTTGTCCTCCGTGTCAGTTGCAAATCAGAAGGCCAGGTATCTCCGCAAGAAGCTCAATCTAATTGCGCGTGACAAGCCCGCTATTGTGCCATTCCATTTCCATAACGCCGGCAGCCTGGCGTACCTCGGTGACTGGCAGGCAGTATATGATCGCACGCATGCCGAGTCAGGCCCGAAGACGAAGGAGACGGGGCGTCTCGCATGGCTTCTCTGGCGGTCGGCGTACTTCACGATGACGTTGAGTGTGAAGAATAAGATTCTCGTACCGGTGTACTGGTGAGTTTCGTTCGTTCTATTTCGCCGTTATCGCGCGACCTTGTCGTGCCCTCATGGACTGCGCTTACTGATGAGGTGGGGCGCACAGGTTCATGAACTGGATCTTTGGCCGCGATCTAAGCCGATTCTGAGTGTGCCCTCAACTCCTCGGACCCTCACCTCTGGGTCCTGGTGATGGCTGGTGGGTCATGGGGGCGTAATTGGCAGTGGTGATCTGCGATCGTGATCGTATAGGATCGGGCTGTCGTCGGAGACTGGGGAATGCAGCTGACTAGGAGAATCGGTAACGTACGAGCTTATCTTTGTGTATAAATAATGCCGATAGAGATTCCTCTTCACCCATTCGAATTTCGGCGGTGGTGTGCATCGGCTTCGACATCACAGATGGCTTGGTCATGGGGACACGGCGGGTCCTTCCAAGCGTCATAGCCGCGACACAGCGTTCAATGGTCCATGGCCATTACCGAGGCACGTCTCTGGAACCATTATCTTCTTGGCGGGAACACGAGTTGTAGCCTTCGTGGCGGAGATGTCTCCGCAGTCACACATCTCCCCGTACCCTTTGACCCAGAGACGAAGTTACGGTTGGTGGATTGCGAAAGATGCAGTATGCGATCCATGTGCCCTGTGGTCCGCAGTACACGCTGCAAGGGCCCCGCACATCTTCTTTCCCGGCGTTCAAGAGCTCGTGTTGATGTTCCCTTTTTGATGGGACGTAGATCAGGTCTACCGGTTCTCTGCAAAGCCGGTTGTGGTGTACACGGATTTTTGGGGCTGCAGGGTTTGACGGTGGGATGTGGTTGACTGGCTTGTTTTTCCTTACGAGGACGTGCACGTAACGGGCAGCTACAGGATGCTCGAGTTCGGACCATGACCTTGATGCATGCGTCAAGTCGTCATTCAACGACAGAGTTTTTACTGTCGTGAGCTCCGTATTGCGCACGGTCCCCGAGATGTGCCTATCCAGAACCAATACGCGACTTTATATATTATAACCACCGTGCTCAAATGTGACCCATTGTTTACAGTTCATAATCGTTAAGGGGAGGCACGGCATGTCATCATTAAGAGTGGCATAGTGGCACATATGCGGGGTATCTAGCGGTAAGTTACTGGGTAACAGGTATACTATGTGAGAAACAGTCCGAGTCCGGGTCAAAAATTCAGCGGTGCGAGTGCAGGGTAGAAGATGCATGCATAACAACATACAAGAATCGACATAGAAGCCCGACCAGAAAACCCCGCTGACAATGAATGTACAGTGACTATATGTCATCTGAGTAAAAGAGAGAAGACGAAAATGGGAATAAGTCAAGAGCAGAAGCACTTCAAATCGAGAAATCAAGGGCTGTGAATGATGGCTAGGTTTCATGATGGAAGCAATGCTCGCGAGAAGGAAATCACGGAGTCAATGTGACCGGCTTCCGATGAGGCGACCTGCGTTTCTTCTCGCCACCTGCGCCAGACTTCAATCAGCCCCGGGACGGCGAAGAAAGTGCACGACAACCTACCTTGTTCCGCGTTCTGAGCTGCACATGCCTCGGCACCTTTGACGAAACCCTCGACGAAATCCTTGTTCTTCTTCACCAGGTCCTCGCTCACGCCATGCCCCTTGAGTTTGTCGAGCGCAATACCCAGTCCCTGCAACTCCTGCATGATGATTGACCAGCCCGGTTCGAGGCTCTCCGAGACCTCAAGATGACCCTTCTCATTGTACCCGACATGCGCGAGGTGAACGAATGTCCCTGGGGCCGGAGACGAGATCATAGAGGGATCGACACGATGCGAAGCAAGAGTGACAGTCGGAGGTAGTGGCGGAGACACAGGCGGAGATGCATTTTTCGGCTGCGTCTGCGCTTGTGCCTGCGTGCTAGATCTCTTGATCTTCCGGGGCATGTGCACTGCGGAGAGTCAGGAACGTTGTAACGCAGCGAGAAGGCATCAGTGCCTACCGGGGGTGTGCAGCTGACTTGTGACCCTCTTGTAGAACGTGTCCGCCTCTACGTCGCTCTCGAAGCGGAGGCCAAACATCCTTGTCTGCAGAGGGGGGTCAGTTACTAGTGCCAATGCCGTCGATCGCCATGTGACGCACTTTCCCCGGGAAGATATGGAAGAACGGCTTGTCGAGGCGGTATTGAAAGTCGTCTGGGATCTGGTGTAGCCATACGACGCCCTTCCCCGGCTGCATATCAATCAACCTGAGCCAGTACATGTGTTCAAGGCTTGCTGCGGGGCCGACACCGAGCCCACGATCGGTGTTCACGACGAGTCGATTCCGACCAAAGACGAGCATTCCTCTCAGACCCGTATCCCGCCATGCATCTTCGCGCGCCCCGAACGGGGCATGGTAGATTCTGGCAGATGCGATGGAGAGAACCTTGGTACAAGCAGGGAGTTGCGAGAAGATGTGGTGTCGCTCATCGTCGGAGAGTTGTGGCGCACAGGCGGCCTGTGTTGAGAGTGTTGGTCTAGATGCGCGCATTATGTAGAAGAAACGGGATTGAAAGTAGACAATAAGCGGTGTGGTATGAGTATCGACAGACGATGGAGATGTAAGGAGCTTGGGATTGGAGGTGTGGAGTGTTTATATGTATGCGCAAAGGCTTGCATTGCGCGTCTATTAAAGACGTGGAGGTGTGCATCGTGCAGATCGCGTGTGGGCCGAGTCAGCGCATTGCGCAGGATACAGGCTGTCCGGCGGGATAGTATCGTGCACTAACCAAACACTCTGTGGTCGAAGGTGATGCTGTAGTGGTCAGACGCTTGCCTGTGAAGAACTGTTGCGGTCTAGCTGCACATGTTGCGGCGGCACGCGGCTGCAGACAGTGAGGCGGCGGTCGTCTCTAGACGCTCGTGAGCTCGGAGGATGCATGCGAGACTTTACGGCGGCTATATTCACGAGATTACGCTGTATAGTATGCCAAACGCAATGATGCCATGGATCTGCGATCCCATAAAAGTCATATCTAGCATGGATGGCGCGAAGCCTGCAATGTCATCCCTTATTGCTGGAGAGCGAACGATAGATATACGTACATGGGAAGCGCGAGGGACCGACAGCAATAACATGTGGGTCGTCTAGAGATAGAGAGGCCACTAGATAGAGAGATCTCGACTTGCGCAGTTGACGGCCTGCACCCTAGAGGCTTCATTGTGAAATCTTATGGCTTATTAGGACAAGTGCATTGACGACTTTAGTTAAAGAGATACCATCGTGTAACGGTGCGCAGTTTACTAATCGGGTCTCCGTCCGGGATAGGTTTGGAGATCTCCGAGACGCTCTTTGCAGTTCTGAATGAAGAAACGTAAGAGTAGTTGATCGAGCCCGCCCGATACCATGAGTAGGTAGAAGGATGAGGGTTGTGGGCCAGCCAAATCTATCGAGCTCTGGACCTGTCTGGAGATTGGGGCTACGTACACTTAAGCACTAGCCGGAATTTGTGCCATTGATAGACCGACAACGCGAGAATTGACGGCAATTCGTTTGTGGGGCATGTGCAGGTTATATGCCCCTTCACGGATTTACGCGACACCCGGCCGGCAGACATGTCAGGCTGCGCCATGGTTACGTCCAGAAAATCATCTATTTTTTCAGAGTTGGCGGTGTCGACTGATTGAGTGTCATTCGCGAAGAATGGGCGAAGAGAAAATACGACTTGCAGAACAGACAATTAGGTACAGGGATGATGAGAATCAGTAACAACAAGCAAATTCAGCTCCGATCACATCTTCATTAGTGGAATTTGGGCTCCGATGATCGCGAGCAGTTGCCCGGTATGGCCGTCTTTCAAGTTCAGGTTGGAACGGTCTGACTCTGCTCTCTTCCAACATATCTCCGTCGCGCCATCCGCTGTGAACCCCGCATCCTTCCATCAGAGCGGGCTGGTGAGCTATTAACTCCTAGCCATGAGCGCGATAGAGCCCGGCCCGGACAGAAGTCTTCTGTGCCTATGAGGTAATGTCTTCAGTGAATAGCGACCAAAATACAAGGTATTTATCTGCAGAGGCACGCGCCGTTATCTTTTACAGATGCAGTCCTTGAGGGTGGGGCGGGAAACGCGGGTCTGCACCCCACTGAGGGACGCCTCGCATATATGACAATTGGCTTACGTCTGTGGTAGCCATAGCTTCGGCTATCGATAGGCAATATTGGGAAGGTCCTCCAAGTCTAGTGAACTCCTAATTACCGGACATGACCGTACACCGACTGTAGATAGTAGACCACTAGGTGTGTTATCCAAGCATTTTCAAGTCGCCGTATCTGATTCGGACTTGCCCTTCGATCGCTCAGGCTGGCCTGTGCACGGACAGACAGCTGCTCGTCTGCTGGTTCTTGACAAATTGCCGCGCACAATGCGCATCATGTTTTTTTCGGCCATTTGCATCAAGCACGCACAACAGTTGCTGCCGAAATGTGGCAAAAAACACCCCGCGATGCGGGTTGCTGTACGGCGCCCCATCCCATCGGGACTTTGTAATCCAGTACGTATGCAGTTTTGTTGCCGTTAGGGATCTTCATTGTTCCAGTATCTCTGATCCCATAGGGCGGCAGCCCTCGCTTAAGAGCTTGTCGGTGTAGTTTGTGCAACCCTTGTGCCCTCCAGCTGCAATGTTCAGCGTGTATTGCTGTTCGTCCGTACGCCTCTATTGTCCATGCATTCCGCAAGAGTAGCATCCTAACATTCTGGTCTGTGTTCCAGGTTGATGAAAGCGTGAGTCTTCGTCAATGGTCCTGCCATGAATCTATCCCGGCTTGCACTGCTTAATCAAAATCTACAACATAGCGCTCGTCGTCCAGGTTGGGCGACATCTCTCCGGGTCCGCTTGTCGCACTTCCGCACACGGTTACTTTCTCTTCAGTAATTATCTGCGCCCCTTTTCACCAGTTGTTTTACACAGATCAACTATTCGCGAAGTGCCAACATCATCGCACACCTGGAAAGCAAGGTCGCATAGACATATTTGCCATGCAGACTTCGCCTGCCAACCGTAAGAGTGTATTGATGAGCACAACTCATGTTATTCACCCCTCAAACACAACGAGCCGATGAGCATTGAATGGCCGATATTCGATACCTCCTTGGCCGCGTACGGGAGAACCATTGTTGGAGAACAGTGCGTAAGACTTTCAATCATCTTCAATCGCGCCTTCAGTTTTGAAGGTGCGCACGGCGTGATGATCGCATCGATCACTTATCCGCTATGTCATTGAACGACATAAATGGGGTGAATTTTCATGCACTCTCCAAGCTGATCTCCACCTCATGTTCCGAAAAATCAACAATCAGAACCTGTATGCATTGACAGAGACCATATTCGACGACTCGAAATATATGTAGTAGGGGTAGAGTATATATATGTAAACTACTGCCAAAATAATACAGATTATAATATTATGCATGTGGAATGCATGAGCAAGTCATAATTATCTAGTATTCCCCTTCAAAGTCATCATCATACTCGGGAGATCCATATTCCGCCCATGCGCTCAGGCCATCCTGTTCATCATGCCCGTCATCGCCATCTCTCACACTGAATACATCATTCCTTTCCTCGGCATAATCATCGTACAGCTCGTCCGCGTCAACGTCATCATGCTCGAACCAAGTGCCCCGCTGGACTGATCCGTCGTCGCCGTACATTTCACTGCGAAAGTTATTATGTCAGTCGTGAGCGATTCCAGAAGGCACACTCGAACTTACTACTCGCGAGCCGCCACCATCGCTGCTAGATCGCTGTGGTACGGGTAAGGCTCATTACCTCACACTCGCGAAATGAAAACGAACCTTTCACCATGGCCATCAGAATAACGTATATTTTCCTCATCGCTCGGGTCATCCGAGTGGATTACGTTTGGGCGACGCCGCCTTTGCGACTGCACGGCATGCTCATCGTCTGATGGTGTCAAAAAGCGTCTAATGGAAACATGGGGCCTGCTATAGGAATGCCTCGAAGTGGAACCGGATCTGCGCAGAACAGGGTCTTCCCCAGTACCCTCATGCTCTTCCGACGAATAGTGTCGTTGAGTCGGTCGATCTGCTCGACGTGACAGCCGCCTGACCGGGAATTCGGCTTCACTATCGTCGGAGTCGCTCTCTTCATGAACAGGAAACAGAGGGTCTCGAGGGTCCGGGATTGGCATATTTGACACATGCGCGACTCCGTGGTCATCCTCGTCATCGATGAAGCTGCTCTCGTACTCTTCATCATATTCCTCGCCGCTGTGATGCCGCTCGTGCTCCTCGACAGCTTCATGCACTGGTGAATAGCGCCGTCGCCCATGGCGCCTACGGATTTCCACGCTAGTTGAGTCGTTCTCGCTGTCGTGGACACTTCCATCGCTCTCAACATCGGTGTCATTGGCACCCCCATGCCAATCCCACAAGAGACCTCCAAGCGGCCCCATACCGATCCAATCATCGTTGGCCTCTTCATCGTCCTCGTCCCAGTCAGGTGGGGGCTCAATATCACCCTCATCGGGGTCGAGATGAGCATGGGGAGCATGGGCGTGACCAGGGTACAAGCGGCCACACGATGAACACACGCCATCCCATATTTCATACATACAGTCAATGCAGCGGTAGATGCCACCATCTTCCGCATCTTGAATCCCAAGTATGTCCTGCATCATCGCAGGATCGGCAAAGCGTGGAAGATCCGCTGACGGCACAATTGCCTTTCGGAATATACCCACCCACGGATCCCCACTGAGTGTGTCGGATGCCAGGTTGGGAGCATTGATTGGAGGATTGGCTAATCCACTCTTTACAAGCACACTCACCATCTCCTTCACAGCCCAAACCTCTACTGGACGCTCAGAGACAACTGCACGACAATGAGGGCAAGTTTTCTTGCGCAGGTACGAAGGAAGCATCTCCGCAGGGGGGATGTCGGGAGGAGGAGCGCTGAACCATGAGACCAGGCATCCATGACAAGCCGTGTGGCCACAAGGCGCTAACGCATATGGTTTATGCATCAAATCCAGACAAATCTGACAGGTAAGCGATTGTTGTAAGGTCGAAAGGAGGGTAGTATGTCTGTCGACTAGCTGCAAAATAATAGTCAACAATGCGTTAATGTCTATAGCTTCAAACTAGACGCACTGTTGTCTTCTCGACGAGCTGTGATTGAACGGCATCCACCGAAGTAGCTGCAGAACTGGGTTGCTGCTCATCGTGTTCAAATGCGTCAACTGACATCTTCGCTTTTCCCTTCGTTGAACCAGCTATCTCCTGGAGGTCGTATAACATCAGACACAAATACATGAACATTAGGGCCACTCACTAAGACAGATGTGGATCGAGAATCCGGACTCTGCGTCCCCATTGTCGTTGAGGAAAGCCCCACAGACGGTTGACGGCTGTGAGAATCCACAAGATCGTGGTTCAGAGCTGTTGAAGCATCGTTATCCATAGATGGACTGTGCAGTCGAGAGGGACCCGATCCAGATGCGACCTGCTCTTCAGCTGCAGCAGATCGCCCGTGGGTGTCAACAGATATCTCAGACAGTTGTTTGGGCTGGTTTTGTCTATTTTTCCTACGTCGTTTTCTTTTCTCCCTGTCTTTCGGATGAGGCGCCTTGTCGCCTTCAGCGTCGTCGCAACCCCTCTTGCTTCGCTTCGAACCTCTGTCCTGTTCCCCCGCGTCCTCAGTGTCAGTAAGAATCCGTTTCTGAGTAGGACCTTTTGGAAATGTTGGGTTAGAGGTGTTCGGTCCTACGCTCAATGCACGAGAAGACGACATTAGAACTCCAGGGATGGTATATCCGCCGTGCGGTGGGGTCGATACGCGTGTATGTGGGTATCAACTGCTTCTCGGCTAGAAGGGCAGCTATATTCCAGCTCGGGCACGCGAAAAACACGGCAGGAGAGGTCGAGACCAAGGCTAGGTCCAGCTGCAAGGCAAAGGGACGGAAGAGAATCTTAAGAACAAAACACGGAAACTGAATAGGGCGTTTCGAGTGAGATCTGGTCACGTGGTGTCGGGCGACGTTCGCACCGCTCGAGTGCGATACAGTCGCGCTCAACGCTGCCACCAACGACGAGCAGGTCCGTCCAAGGGCCACAGAGTCAACTCGTATCGCAGCTGTATCTATAGCCTGGTTCTCTACTCTCACCCTCGTCTGTCATTTCCCCATAGACCGAACATGCGGCCTGCGCACCTCAATCTCGACGTCGGTGCTCACAGTCGACCAGTGTATCAACATCCAAAAAGCCCTAATACACCAGGAGATCCATTCTCATTCTTTAACTCGCCGGGCTACCTTTCTCATCAATGGCAGACCTTCGGCGTTCAGATCCACGACGACACTCCCATTCACGGTGGATTGCTGTTGAACCACGATGGTCTCTCACCGCTGCTTGTCTCATCCGACTTGGAGACACACGAGGTTTATTACCAGCGGGAGCGGGAGCAGTACCAGCGAGAATCCCAGCCAGCTTCTTCCCCACGTTTAAGACCTGTGTTTCTGCGTATTAACACCGGCACTGGTATCAGCGATCCCACAACGCCTCTCTCTCCTACCCTCTCCGATTCCGGTCTGGCCTCTCCCTCGCTCCCTGTTATATCCCCACATGCATCTGAGCGCTCGAAGCGTCTCAGCAGACGCAAACGTACTACTCTAGCCGCGGTCACGCCTTCGTGTCTTAACACGCAGGCGTCCTGGCTCATACTCTACTTCGCATTCAATCTTGGCCTAACCTTGTATAACAAATTCGTTCTCGTACAATTCCCGTTTCCCTACACTCTAACTGCTCTCCACGCGCTTTGCGGGAGTATCGGCGGATGGATCCTGCAATTGCGCGGAGTATATGTGCCTACATCCTTGACCTCGCGACAGCACGGCGCGCTCGCTTCTTTTAGCGTGCTATATGCTGTTAACATTGCCGTTAGCAATGTCTCCCTGCAGATGGTCACCATTCCGGTGCGTTTTTACGCGAGAAGGAGGATCTGGTCTGATCGTGCGCGCAGTTTCATCAGGTCGTACGCGCTGCGACCCCAATCTTTACCACTGTGCTGTCTATGATAATGTTTAATGCGCGATTCAGCACGCTCAAGATCGCGTCCCTCCTCCCCGTCATGGCTGGCGTAGCTCTCGCGTGAGTATACAACATTCACACAGCATGTCTTGATTGAACGTCATCTTTAGGACTTACGGTGATTATTACTTCACTTGGTGGGGTCTGCTCCTCACATTACTTGGCACATTTCTCGCTGCTCTCAAAACGATCTACACCAACGTCCTGCAATCTACACCACCGTTGACTTCCGCTTCCAACCATAAGGTTATACACCTTCTGCCTGTCCCGCCGCGCATGTCCCTGCATCCTCTGGATCTGCTTACGCGCACGTCTCCATTAGCGTGCGTACTATGTATGCTCTATGCGTATTCCTCTGGAGAGTTGTCCCGCGCACGACAATCATTCGCACCCAGCGGGGTCGTAGAGTGGTCGCATGTACTCGTCCTTCTTGGTAATGGCGTGATAGCATTTGGACTCAATGTAATCAGCCTCAGTGCTAACAAGCGCGTAGGCGCACTGAATATGACCGTCGCTGGTGCGTCCGTCGTCGGTCTTTACCACCACAAATTCAAGCTGACTTGGGGCATCTGAAGCTAACGTCAAGCAAGCCTTGACAATTCTTTGCGCGGTCGCGCTATTCCACTTGACCATCACCCCGATGAACGCGTTCGGTATCTGCGTCACACTCGCCGGTGGCGCGTGGTACGCCTGGGTTGAATATTGCGACAAGATGCAGCGGAAGCGGGCGCCAGAGAAGCATAAATTGACCGGAAGCGGAAGGGCAAAGTAAGTTTCGCGGTTTTTCCGCATGCGCATCTCGGACCTATACCGCACACTATGATACCTTCTCACATCCACATTGAACAAGCTCGTGCAAACGAGGACTTTTAGTTTTGTACTTCTACGATGACGTTTTGTATTGTTTATAACATTTTTGAGACTGCGCACGCGCATGTCCGTGGACTGACTGGCAGTAAGCAATGAAATCTGACAGCTTTAAGTCATGGTATGTTCATGAGGTGGGTTAGATCGCGATGCGACGTCCCCGCTAAATGACCTCAGACATTTCAATAGAGCGGGTATTCATTGATCTGATGAGATACGATTTTGCGTGACAATACAACAAGACAACAGAAATAAGATTCGGACAGCGGCAAAAACATATAATAAGTAAGGGTAGTAAGTCAGATTACAAGCGCCATCACGCCGTCGCCGTCGGCAAACCGATGCGCGCGTTCACTTTCTGTCGGTGCTGACGGTTCCTCAGATGCACCTCGTAGTTCTGCAACGTCTCGCCGGGGCCTGGTGTGTAAAGCTGCAGGTATGCGGGATGAGAATCCGTACGACCGCCACTGGAATTAATACCTACTTTTCCTGGGCAATCCAAGCACTTCAGGCGCCATTCGGGGTTCGCCTGTGGATTTGCTCTGCGGATGGTGACTTCGAACAGGTCGTGGGGGTATTTGGTTTGCAACTCGATCATCGCCTCTCTCAACCATGCAGGGATGGGCAGCTGCAAGGAGCCTGTATCAGAATCCAGCAGAAGCCGAGTGGATCGCAGAGCTCACAGATTGATACGTATATGGAGGAGGCGCTGATGGACGAGGTGGTTGTGGTGATGCCAAGGGCGGGGCAGTTCCAGTTGGGGTATTATCGGCCTCTGCGTCTTGGGGGCCATTATCTGGAGGAGCCGACTTAGAATGTCCAGTTCCATTCGACCTGACAGTCCTCTGCGCGAGGGGGGATTCGCTGGCGCTGGAAGTCGTGGAACCTGGAGACGTTGGCCGTTCTCGATCTCTAGACGAGACCGCTGATCCAATGCTAGAAACAGTGGGGATTTCAACACGAAGTCCGTTATCTGGACGGCTGGGGGTCCCTGTCTCAACATCGGCATCTTCTGTAGGCGCCGGCGTAGGCTGTTCCGTCGAAGGCGGGGGACGCTTCCGCTTCGCGGCGACCCTGGCTTGCTCCGCTTCTCTGAGCAGATTAATATGGTACTCCGCATTCGAGTTGTACTCCACAGGACGTGGTCGGCGATGCCGATGCCAGAATTTACCTGCAGCCCAGCCGAGTCATCAAGGCGGTCAAAATCACCAGGACAAAATGCACGTACCACATGTACCACACTGCGACTTGTCTCCCAGGGGGCCCTTTCGGCGACCGATGGCGATACTCTCCGGACAGCCACAGTTGGAACAATGCCATACTCCGTCAATCATGTTCGCATGCTGGCCGTCCACATATTCCTTCTCCTTAGCCTCCCTCTCCAATTCCTTGGCCTTCTTAAATGGCAGCATAACACGAGCACCCTTGTTATCAATGTTCGATGGCAAGGGCAAGTCATTTTCCATAGGCGGAGGGAAGCTAGAAGGGTCGGCCACCGTGGACTGCACGGGGTACGGGCGCGTGCGGAGCACGCTTGAGGGATACGATGGGGGCTTGAACAGACCCTTGGGCTTCTTCTCCTTCGGTGCTGTCGATGCGGCAGGTGTAATAGGCATTGGCTGACTGGGCGGCAGGACGACCGTCCCGTTTTCAGAGGCAACCATGTTGGCGATAGTAAGAGACGCCGCTGCCGCAGCGGCCCGTCGCGACGTTGGCGCCGCTGCGGCATTGAGTAGACTGAGCGTGGCTGCGTCGACCTCGGGGAACCCAATGGCAGGCGTGCGGAACGTTTTGGGAGGTTCTCGATCAGGCAGGGCGACGCCGCGTCTGCCGCGAGTCGTCTTTCGTCTCCGCCGATTGAGCTCCTTCTCGCGTTCCTTCTCATTGCGCTCGATCTCACTATCACTCAGATAGTTGATGATCGGAGTGAACGCGGTGACTTGATCCATCGCCCGAGCGCCGGTGGTCAGCGAGGGCAGAAGGGACATTCGGAGATCGTCATCCTGCACCGCGGACCCGTCTGACGGATGGCCCACGAGGAAGAGAGACTTTTGGTAGATTTGAACCTGCTCCCTGATGGAGTGGGCGATCGCCGTTCTGGACGATGAAAAATCAGCAGGAGACCGAAATACACGAGCTGGAGACATACTTGAACTCGCCGCCCAGCCCCAGATCTTGCGCATATATCTCCGCAAAGTGCTCGGGAGAGGGATCGTCATTATCCAGATTCCACTCAAACTGGTCCTCGAGCTTCATGGGGCCCACGATGATATCAAGCTGTCACCAGATCTCAGTCAGTCTCGACAGAAAAAGTGCAAACGTCCACAGATAACCACCTTCACAAGGATACGCATCTCCTCCTGCAACGAGGTGTCTTCCTCCTCAAACTCATCAACGGTCATCGGGACTTCGGACCCCGGTAAGCCTGCAAGCTCTGTCTGTTCGATAGCCTCCTCCTTGACCACCTTTCGCCGTTTTCGGCTCCGATTATCTGGGCGTTTGCTGACTTGCTTTAAGAAGGTGTCTGACCGCACCCTCTCCCGCCACGCCTCCCACCACTCCGCATCCTGGCCGTCCAAGCTGCCGCATTGCACGCCGTCGTCGCCATCTGGGGAGACGGCCACGATGCCGTCCTCGCCAAAGGTGGTCGAGTGCGCTTTGAAGTCGCTCAGCTGGTCCTGGATAGCCTTCGTGATGACTGTATGGTAGCTGGGCGCCAGCCCGTAGTCGTCGACGATCGACTGCGCAAACACCTCGGGCGTGACGACGGGGTCTGGGCGGCTGTGAGCGACCGAGGAGGTATATTTGGACGAGCGAACACGCACCATTCAGGTTCCACACGAACGCATCTCGCATTTTCTGATGTTCAACATCAAACTCCAGCCGGATGGGGACAAGCTGCTCCGGGCGGTTCGCGTCCTCGGGCTTGAGTCTCCTCGGGCTATAAAACACGCATTCAGCACGCCGCAGAATCGACGCCGCGCGTCGCACTCACTGCTTGAACCCCTCTCGCTTCCCAGCCTTGCGTCTATCCCGCATCTCACGGTCCTTATTGTTCTTCAGCCCCGTCAGCGCAAACTTCTCGGGTCTCCGCCGCGGGGCGACCCGGCCGTCGTCCACGACCGCGTCCTTCTCCCACCACGCCCGCGGCTTGCCGATCGTAGCCAGCACTTCCTTGTGCATCTGCTCGCGCATCGCCTTGTGCCGCACATCGTACTCCTTCTCGACCTTCATCCACGCCTTGACCTTCGCGATCTCGTCCTCCCCCAGCGGCGGGATGAGCGTGCCCACGTCCTTCAGGGGCACCTCAGAGATGCGCGTGCTCGCGTCCAGCCCCGTCTTCTGCTGGGGCGCCGCCTGCGCGCCCGCCGCTGTCGCCGCCGCCACGCCGTTGAGCGCACCCTGCGCCTTGTGCACCGCACCATCCGCAGCGAGCGGCTGCTGCGCGCCCATCGCGGCCCCGAACCCCAGGCCATCCACTGTGCCACCCTTCCGGTCCGGCGCCGCGCCCATCATGCTCGACACGCCCGCCGGCGCCGTCGGCGACTGCATGCCCGCAAACGGCGACGTCGGCACCGGCGG